AACGCATTCACGGCAAAACGAAGGCATTCAACTTATCAGCGCTTCCTAAGGCCATATCATTATGGAACGATCTTCCCGACTGCATCACCTCCATCACCGATCCAGATTCTTTTCGCGAACATGTGTGTAATCATTTTTCATCGCACTAATCGCTCTAACTTCACTGATGTTTGTAGCTGCAGCTGTGCCAAGCAATAGAGTGGCATATCTAAACAGCACAGAAGATGTTCCTTACAAAATGTGCTATCTTTCTCTTCCAATTTTAATATTGCACATAAGTATGATGTTAAATCTGTAAATTTACAATAAACATTAAACTAAATGCAGTTCTGCCCCACTATAAACATTATCATAAAACTTACATTATAAATTTTAAATACTCTCTTGAAAATCTCAATTTTTAATAGAGTTATGCATTAAAGTTACAAAGGCGAAGCTGGTGAAGATACATAATTTCAAAAAAAATATTTCTCTAGTTAAAAATACTACCCTCTCATAACTTCATTAATTTGTAGTTTACCCATAAAGCTTTCAAATGAAGCATTGTGAATATTTTAAATATGACCACAAAGGCAAGTTTTTTGACGCTGAATACAGAGCGTTTCCCAAAAAAAGCTAAATTTACAAATTTTTTTCAGACTATCTACTATAACTTCGGCGTCTAAATTATTGTTAATTTGTAGCATGTTAAACAGGCCACCAGCACATATTTTATTTGTGTTCTTTGAGCTTGCCATGTTCCTGGAAAATAATCCCAAATTCGGCAACTTTAGTCATTATTGCTTAAGCAAAAAGTCCTCGAAGAATTTAATACATAATTAAGTCATTTTTACAGTTATATCACTTTATTACCTTGCCACAAATACCATTTTGTCAAGTGCATTCCAAAAACGTCTTTTGAAAAAAATTTTTACTTCACACCCTCTAGCTCGGTCGGCGCCAAACAGATTCTCATAAATAGGAAGGAAAATTTTCGGTAAAGAAAATAAACGACCAAAGCAAGTTTCGAACTTCGAGAAACAGGTGGAAACTTTTTCCGGTCTTATTCGTGATGGTCGAAAAAACGCTGGATGATTTGGCATGGAATGATCCAAATGTATATAAATGTACAGTAGAATCTCGACGATACAAATAGGGAGCACGCAAAATATTTGTATTGTCCCGAATTCGTACGAGCCAAAAACAAGTCATGTTCATCATGAAGATGAACAAGACCTTAAGTCCATGCTGTTCTTTAGGACCTGCTTTGATTGCCTTTAAAGGCTTTAAATAAAGTGTGCGGTTTTACCTCACTCATGCTGCTGGCGCTCCTCCCACAGACAAGCCGTGTTGACCTGTTCACATGCAGCAGTAGATTGCGCGTCCATACCCCCCCCCCTACCTTCCCACTCTCTGCCAGTGCGCAGTCTGCCAAGTGCGCAGCAACGTCAAAGTGATGCTGAGAGCTTTTTTTGACTCCCGCACATTTTATATTTCCCTATGGTGTCAAGTTGTACAGTTCTATAGATGTGTCCACATGGAACATTGACAATTTCTGTCGGGAGGTGGCATTAATCAGCACCTTGGCACACTGAAAACAGCAGTCAAAGTTATGCTATAAATGTCAATAAAGCTCGTAATAGTGTGTGGTACTTCAGGAGTAAAGGTTAATAGCATGGTCAGTGACATGCCATCGCCAGTTTGGACCAATCTTATTAAACGGTCTGAACCGCTATGTACTCATGACTCCGAGTCGTTATGGTCATCACAAGGAATACCTGTGATGTAGGCACACATCTTAATAACAGGGAACAGTGCGGACAAACGGGCAAGAAATACTGACAGGACTTGGCGCTTGCTAACAACATGAATGTTTATTTCATCGTTACAAATATATCCACTTCTTGGTAAATGGAAGTAACAAAAAGGGGGGGGGGGGGGGGGGGGGGTTGTAAGGCTCAACACATTCATGACAATGCAATGAAGCCAAGTCAACAAGCTCAAGTTTATACCTTTTTAAAGCACATGGCATGCATGTGACCTTTTTCTTTCTCAAAGTATGGCTCCTGCAAATGGACTCCAGCGAAGCCTTCTGTTTAGTGGTCTTGCACCAAATAGACATTTCAGACTTGTTACACATGACTTTTTTCAAGTGATCCACATGCCATGCTTGTTTGCAATGTCTATACCTGTGAGAGCCCTTTTCAAGCAAGACTTGAGAGTGTGCTAGTTGGTATTTGTGAAGTTGGTTAGTAACGTGCAAATGAAAAAGTTGCAGATGACCCCTAAGCATATTTTATGATATGAGAATAGAAAAGCATTTGTTTTGGCTTTCTTGTGATGTGGGGGTAATGCAAAGTGGTGCCATCAAGTTATTTTATAAAGAAAGAGGGAACATAAGAGGCTGAATTATGTTAGAGAATGTTTGATTGATTGAGTCTAAATAATTTTCTCTAGCTGCGTGTGATGTGCTCATATCCTAATGAGAATTCTAGCTACACTAACTATTTCTTTGTGAACTTTTGTCTGCATAACATAGCTTTCCAACCACTTCATTAAAGGGGCCCTGAAACACTTTTTCAAGTAACCATGCAATGAATTCACAGGAAGAGCTTACTGCCTCACGAATTCAACGCCGCAAAAATTGCAAGAATCCGTCCAGTGCGAGTGGATTTACGAAGGTTCGTCGCATGCTGCAATTGCATTCTCTCTTCTCTCGTCCTGACGAAAACGCTGGGAGCTAAGCAGGGAGGGATGGCAGGGCCACAGAAAAACATCATGCGCGCTTCACGATCTTGAGCACTTTTTCTTTTTTTCTTCGAATACTCGACTTGGCTTATTTAGTGTGATCGTGTGCGCATGCGTGGACAAGTAGCGGCCTTTTGCGGCGATCTCTGTAACGAGCGAGCATGCCATGTTCAAATCAGCCAATGGCTGATAGATGGGTTTACTACAAGTGATTTTTGAGCGTATTCTGTCATTTGTCAAGAGAATAGAAAGCAATTTTTAACTAAACTTTATAATTTATTATGAATTCCAGCCCGCCTGCTGCACTATATTTGGCTCGCGGGTTGTCGGGAGCCGCTACTACCAATCGGCAGCATTTTCTGACCATGCTGAAAAAGTGCTGCAGGGCCCATTTAATCAGCCCACCGAGCATATCTTCTGCACAATTAGGTATGAATGTCCAATGCATAATCTTAATTTGCTGAGCAAGTTCCTCATTTCTGCCTTTGACAGCCCTTCTTGTATTCAGAGACTTTATGCATAGATCATACACGTTTCAATTCATGCTCATCCAAGGAGTCCTCCTAGACAAGGAGTGGTTCGTCAAGAGTCTTTTGCCAATATCGACGCTAGATATACAACGTCAGCACTCACTGCAGCAGTGTCTTTGCAGAAGTTTAAGGCCAACTGTTAAGGTGGACATTGGCACACTTCTTTTGAGTCAAGTTCCCCATAAGCTGTGGGGAACCCTTTGTCTTAATCTGCGGCTGCTAGTTGCTCTGGAAATTGTAGAGGAAGCACCATATTCTGGACAGTTGCATCGCAGTACAGAGGCTGACCGTGCTGTATACTACACCTAAGCAGTGAATTGGGGAGGGTCACGCATTTTCAACACCCCAGAGGGGATTAAGGCTGCAACCAAGACAACCTCGTTAGTAAGGTGCTTTAATAGCATCAGCGACAGTCAGTTCCAATTGAGAGGGGAGGGTCACGTGCTTTCTGGGCACGAATTTTGTGGACCCCCGATGTGCACGAATTTTTGCAAAACTAGCCAAGTAATGCCTTTACATTAATAAAGATGACATAATGGGCACCAAAAAGTTTTTCTCAACCCTGTCAATCCTGTCGTTTTAAGTTTATTACCTAAAACATTTATTGGAAGCTCGTGAGACATTTCATGACAGCTCGATTAACTTTCAAATAAGACAGTTCAGACAAGGTCACATTCGAGCAAACAATGTTCATCTGACCTGCTTGGCGTGTTGGCAGATCCAGGACTCCTCAATGTCTGCTTGAACGCCGAGAGATTTGTGCGACTGTTTTCCGTCGCCTTCCTTCTGCGGCTCCTCATCATCCTTCTTGGGTGTATTGGCAATGTGCACAACAATGTCTCGTTGTTGCGTGCTCTGCAAGAGGTCGGTGTTCATTAGTTCGCAGCGTGCTAACCCGTTACCAATCCACTATTTCCCCTTGATGTTGAATTCTCCTGGCTTTCAACATCACAATAAGAGTGATAAAAACACGCAACTTAAGTGCGAAGTCACTTTCGATTAAAGGAGAGCGCTAGCTGCAGCTTACCTGTCCGATAACCATACCAACTGTCAACGAGTTCTTTACTTGGACGAGTTCGCATATGAGTTTCTGAACATGATCGTCGTAAGCTACCGTTCTCCCCATGCTAAATATTGCCTTTAGAGGGGTGACGGATGAATGGACAGCAATAGCGCGACGTATTTCGACTTTTCGCTATAGTGCAACTGCAGTGATTCAACTAGTGCACCAAACAGCTGGAAGGTAACTGCTGATGCAAGTTTCCGCCGTGCCGCCGATGCCTACGCCATCCATCCTGAATCGTTCTTGTTCACTGGCATAGCCTCCTACATTTCCCTTGCCTGCCGGATGAGCGCGAAACGCCCGTCATATATGGCAGCGCTGCCTACGTAGGGGTAAGGGTCTTTGTACTTGGCCTTTGAGATCGGCAATTTTGGCGTTTTCCTCCGTGGGCTATGCCTTGTATTGAAAGAGTTGCCTGTTGAGTGACGGCGTCACTTACGTAGGGTTAAATATAATTACGTTTACGCCTTTAAAAACTTTTTACGTTACTTTTGTTGCATATAAGCTCCAAAAACGTAAAAATTTATTTGAAAACACCCCTACTTAGGTGGCGCTATAACCATAGTTCCGACGACGGCCGCTTTCCAAGTAACCGCCGATCACCTCCGTGCCGCCAATAATCCGGCAGGCAAGTGCAATCTAGGAGGCTATGTCACTGAATACAAAGTGGGGTTGGATTGGCTAGCAGCGGCCGTAGCGAAACATGCTAACGGGCCGTAGCACCTCACACGTGCGCAGAGACTATAGAGTGCTCGTCGACGTTTAAGTAACCGTAGCCGAAGAATGCAGACGCCTATTGCTGATATCGCTTAGTTATCAGCGTGATGTGCCAGTTACGAGGCGGTGCGGGGCGTGTGTATTAAGGTTGGTGGACGTAACGGCACGTTTCTAAAGCGAGTGAAAAGTGGACACATGATTGGTGCGAGTGCATTTAAGGACATCAGCGGCAGCGCATTAAGGTATGCGAAACTGATGTGCCTTGTCGTGGCTTTGTACTTGCGGATCGTTTTGTTAGCTCGTGTGCACAGACTTAGCTACTATTACAGATTTAATTGTGTTCAGTGTATGTCAATGTGTCACTACAAATGTGGACATAAACACATTTAGTGTGCATTCCTGTTTTTTGTGTGCTCAGCCGCGGTTGAGCTACACATGAGCTAGCAAAGGCGAAAAGCAGTTCTCTCTTCATTGTGTCCTCTAAGTGAAGAACTGTAAGCGAAGTTTTTTTGCCCTTCTTATGTACTGACTCTTTGCAGTTAACAAAAATGGTCAGTCTAATCGAATTCTGTGCTATCGCACGGGAAACTACGGTACTTGTGAGTCATCAAGAGACGGCTGCCGACTTCGAGTATCTGCTTGCGGACGTCTTAAAAGAAATCCCCCCACATGCTGACTTCAAGACTACTCGGTCCCGCGGTGGGTACGTCTGTTTTAATGTTACATATCTGTGTTGAGCATCGAGATCAAGCTGTCATTATGCTTGTGCATTTGTTCAGAGTTGTCATAAATCCTGATTGTTAATAAAAGTATTTGTGAATGGAGTTTTTCTATTTGGAATACAGGCTGTGTTTTGGGGTTTATGCTAAACTCTAAGGTGAAGAATGCTACAAATACAAAGAAAAAATCCAGAATTTCATCACGCTATTAAGGAGCGTTGTGATAAACAAAAGTTTTTGTGGGGGAAATAACTTGCAAATATTTAAAATACGAATTACAGTAGTGTTGTATATAAAATGCATATTAACTTTATGCTTGCACCTTGCTGCAAGTGCTGAACTTTCATTTTGCCAACTCTTGGTTGCTGTTGATGCCAGTGTAACATGCGTTGTCATGTACTGTAGGCTTTAGCATGCTACTGAGCAGTGTTGCGGAATGGGCGCCTTCATTAATTCCATTCCGGGGAACTTGAACTTGTTGCAATTTCATTCTTTCCAATTCTTCAGAATGAAAAAACTTAGTGCATTCCTACTTTAGGAATGGCCGGGCAATTCAACTTCATTCCTGTGATTCCTCAATGCAGGAAAGGCATCTTGATGGCTTTATCAAGTCAAGAATGAAAGCCCCATAAAGCTGATGTCATCAGATGCATTAAGAATTGCAAAAGTACGCAAAATTTTACCAAGGTCGAGGGATAGTAGCTTGGTGACGTATCTCGTGCAGTTTTGGGTAAAGGCACCTATGTGTCTAGACAGGGAGACAGTATTTCAAAAGGAAGGTGGGAAGAGTATGAGGTGAGACGGCGCACAAGCTGGTATACGTAAGCTTTCAGTGAACACAAGCATCGCGCAAGCATCAATACGCATCCCAACTTAAAGAAGAGTTGTTTCGAATATGTGTCTGAGTCGCCGACGGCGGCAGAAGCACAAACAAACAAGTGGAGGGGCGGTAGAATGCAGGCAGCTGGGGCGATGCCGTGGGGGGAAAAAATTGCATCGTGAAGGGGGGGGCGGGGTATGCTGCCACCATAGTTCAGCACGGCGGATACCAACAGCATACAGGGGCAGAATTATAATAGGCACATTGCTTATAAATGTGCCGCGCTTGTGATCAGCCAAACCATTTTAAAAATATTTTTTATTGTCAAGTTCAAGGCTCTGGCTTATTAAAAGTTGAAGTTTGAAAAACGCATAAACGAAAGTGTGTTCTATTTTCAAAAAATGACAGTTTCATTCTCATGTCATTCCATGTAAAAGGCGGTTAATCCTATTCCCACATCATTCCTTTAAGCGTTGTCTACATTCCATTCCTCCAAACGTTGTCTGCATTCCATTTCTATTCCAGGGTCAGGGAAATGTGGAATGATTCCAGAGTCATTCCCATTCTGAAGTGGCAACACTGCTACTGAGTTATCGTTGTCATACACCTATTCCACTGGGGTTTAAAACACAGTGCCGCAACGTAGTGGTGAGCAATGAAATTGACTGGATGGCATGCATAACTTGCGAGTATTACCTCTGTAGCACGTGTACCCGCAAACTTCGTTTAAATCCCTTTTCTTTATGACAACGAAAATGTGGTTTGTGTCACATGGTCTTTCTAACGTCAAGGAAGTTAAACGAAGCTTTTCGCAAAGAGAGTTCGGCCATCTTCCTTTGCAGTGGAAGGGAGTACTCTCGTCCCCAGTAATCTGTAGTTACGGAAATAACTACAAACACAGAACAGCCACAGCCAACACTGTAATAAAGGTTATTTCTATTAAAAGTTATTTCACTGTATAATCCACTCATAATGTGTGTTTAACGAAAAAGAAATACGGGTACAAGTGTATGTACTCTACACACCATTGCTCGCCTCGCCCCCGTGTCGCCATTTTGAAAAAGTTTTGTCAGAGTCCGGGCCAGCCATCCTATTCATGTGCCCCATGGTGTTTACATCTCTGCAACTCGTTTGCTTTTTATTGTTGTGCTGTTTGTTCTACTTCAATACTGCCTGAATTTATAGCAGTGGTTGAGCAGGTTTTGTTCCTCTTTCGTCGATGGTGGTATTCTTGCCGGCACTATATGCGAACTGTTGTGTGACCCATTCACAGCAATGGCTTCATGTACTGAACACGAAACCTGTGCTCTTCCGAAATTGTAAAGAACACTGATCTACGTAGTAGCGCAACTTTCAAGAGCTCAGCGACAACTTGCAATTTACTTTACAATCAGCGAAAGTCCTTACTAAAGGAAAAAACCCACTCTGACGACCGAAATGCATGCATTCTCTGGTTTCCCGCCCACACACCCGTCGACCACACGGAGGTCAATCTTAACGAGGTGGCGCACGACAAGGCTCGAGGTCTCGCGTTCTGGGCCACTTTCGTGGTTGACACCACCCAAACGAACTCTCTTGCGGAGGAGTGGGAGTGGGGGATAGACTTACCAAATTTAACGACATTGCTCAACAATATAGACTTCAACGACGGGAATACTCCCTGCCTCACCCCAAGCTCAACCGGGCGTTCGTTCAATGGTGGCAATTACAAAGAGTCACCTACACTAATCCCGTAATTATGAAACATATTTACCCCGACTTGTATATGACCAATTGGTGCAAGTATTGTAGTAATAGGGCCACACTAGCACATATTCCCTGGGAGTGTCCAGCACTAATTGGCAAAATGAGAGACGCAGCCTAGGCGGACCGGGCTGCTCAGTTCAAGACTAGATAATCAACTCTGGGCGATCCACCAGGCCAAAGAAGCTGCAGAGAAACATGGTCTCTCAACCAACTCCTAGGCAGGAACCCAGCCCGGTAACCTGCAGGAAGTGAATAAAGTCGTTAACTCACTTAGCATATGTAGAGAAAACGCGTACCAAAACAAATGAACAGTGTTGCCAGCATTCCTGTCAACATTACTGCCAACTTACTTGCACGTGTTCGCATCTGTAATAAAAGCCAAAACATTTTTTCCTGTTTCGGTGTAAATAAATTATAGTTTATGTAATCCCACGTACCATTGAAATTGTTTAAATGTTTTCAGAAGTATTTGGCACAAAATCTTGCATGCAGAGAAGGTGCTGCAGTGCCTAATGGGCCCCTTGTGGCCTCTATCCAAAGCTTATAAAATCGCCGTGTGATGTGGGCGCAACTCCCATCTCTGTCAAGCTTCCTAGGGTAGTTTTACGTTGATGGAGTTTAACAGAGTTCCGTGGTGGCTGTGTGACCGTGGAACTCTAGGATACAATCTGGGCAAATACGCCGCCAACACCGAGCACATGGTGGCAGACGATCCATAGTCAAGCTGTGCAGCTGCCGCATTTTCCATCAACCCCGTACCTCACAATAATAATTGTGTAATATTTAATTGCCACACGAGAAGTAAGGGTAAATAAGATAAAAAAGGACCAGAAGCAGGAACTAACTGTGAAAGGCAATCACAAACCCGCGCAACCACGCAAAATCTGTCCGAGAAGCACAGCACAAAACTCATGCACGCATCAACAGGAAGAAATTTAAGACTCAACAACGTATATTTGGGCAAGCATCACTTCATAACAAGCAAGTCAGTTTTTCAAACAGTTTTTCAAATCTCTTGCGAAGTTCTTTCATCCATTGGGTGAGACGCCATGGACTCGGACACTGCAGACGCGGAAGATCCCAGTTTCCCAGTCAACAATCTTTTGCTGCCAGCTGCATAATCTCCTGGATGATTCTCCTTCGTGATACGCACAAGGCAAATGATCGAACCACACGCACTACATCAAACGAGTCACCGCACAAATGTAAACACGGCGCGATCGCTAAGATGTACATGCTCAGTGTGCTCGGTAATGGCGGACGGAAGACGGGAACTGACATCATTTGCAAGTAATGTATAATAACCATCGATAGGTCTATTGAGATAGGTAGTCACTGTTGTGTTCTTTGTTTGTACATTTGGGCTCATGTTAGCATTATCGCTAATAATGAGAAGATATCTATATTATTTTAAATAGTGTACGCCCTGCCTCATTAACTCTTTCTTTATTACGCCTTTCTAAATTGATCACCAGTGATCGATGCTTTGAATCATTGATTTTGACATGTTGAATTTGTTTCGCGTGCACCTAGCACTTTCTAGTACTTAGTTCACCCACTGACCTTTCAGAATCAGTTTGACTTTGCTCTATTTGCCAACATAGTGATTTTTTAGAGACGTTATTGCGAACCAATGTGTGTGTGTGTAATGGGGGGTGCTGACACCCCCTGTAAAGTTGTCTGCACCACGTTATGCACGTGTCTCACACATAGGCTGCATTTCGGGTTGACAACTACCGAGTGGTAGAGGGAGTGGTGCTCGCGAGCGTTCATCACTACTATCATCATCATGGTTAAAGCGTAGCGCCGACAGTGACGCCTGGCGGCAGGCCTGGGTGGCGGTTCTCGAGATATGAGCGATCCTCTTTGGCAGGTGGCGATTTGGTGTAAATGGTTGTCTCTCGCGTGGGCCCGTGGTGAGCGGCACTGCGAGCTGCGCGCCGCGGCCATTGTACATACCTGCCAAGTCTCCAGGATTACCCGGGAGATTCCCGGATTTTGAACATTTCTCTTGGTTGTACAGGTCATGGGAAAATCTCGCGCAAATCCAGTTTTGCCCCGCGCTTCTAATGCCTTGTCTGGCCACTTGAGCATTGTCTGGTCTGCCTAAGTAGTGGCAATGCCACAAAACTGTGGCAATGTTTGCTGAAGACATGACGCGCCTCTGTCGTCGGGCTGATCCCAACATGTCCGAGGAGAAGAAGTTGCGCTACCTTATGCGCGGCGTGAAAGAACAACTGTTCGCTGGACTTGTGCGCAATGCCCCAACTACCGTGGCCGATTTTATAAGAGAAGCCACTGCCATTGAGCGTGCTCTGCACCAAAGATCGAGGCAATATGATCGCTCGTCCACTACCACCCCAGTCAACGCCGCTTCAGTGACTCTGGACAATCAGGGCTCCCTACGTAACTTGATCA